GTGAAGTCTCTGCAAGGGAGTTCCACCTTTATTGAGTGTCCCCACAGCTGCCTAAAAGTGCTTGTAAACCCTCACATATACTCAGTGAAGTGACTGGCCTAAGGTGATACAAAGTGATAAAACAAATCCTTCTATATACGTTGTACTTGTTTACCTGAAGCCCCATCGTCTCTGCATCTATTCAAAGTGCAGAATTTATACAGCTTGTCTGAGCTTTCAGAAAGCAAGTGGTGGAAAGCTGAAGTTACAATCTGCAGAGCACATTGAGAAGAGCTCTAAGAGCTGTTTTGAAACAAAGGACCCCCCTTCACACAGTTTACAGGAACAGAGGTGAAGACTGAGGCTGGATTGAGACCAGTACACATTATAGAGGGATATGCTTTGTTCATATTGCATGTCTGAGGATTGTAACCACTTTAAATTTAAAGCTGTTTGTAAATGCTGTTTTAATTTAATAAAGCCTTTGCTATGACAATACTACCCTATGCAAGTTTCCGATTAGTCTACTTGCTACTATGACTGATCCTGTGCAAGGAGAGCCTGTCAGCTCCTGCTTCAGCTAAATGATCAGGAAGGATTTGATTACAAAGCTTCCATCAGTTACCAAGCACTACATGCCAATTTGAAAGAAAGGCATAGTCATTTGGTGGGGGGGGGGGGGGTGGTATTTTAGTGTTGGCTAGGGCAGTACAAGGGGTAAATACATCACTGTCCAGGAGATGAGCAAGCCGGGACCTAATAGCAGATATAGCATATAGGGATCAAGTAGGAGTGTAGTAAGTAAGAAGTAACACATGGTTGCAGGATGGTATCAAGCATAAGCATAGTCAAGGAAAACATGGTTGCAGGTTGTGATCAATCAGAAGCATATTCAAGGAACAAGTGGTTGAAGGTTGGGATCAAGCATAAGCATAGTAAAGGAACAAGTGGTTGCAGGTTGGGGTCAAGCAGAAGCATAGTCAAGGAAAAAGTGGCTGCAGGTTGTGATCAAGCAGAAGCACATTCAAGGAACAAGTGGTTGAAGGTTGGGATCAAGCATAAGCATAGTAAAGGAACAAATGGTTGCAGGTTGGGTGTTGCAGGTTGGGGTCAAGCAGAAGCATAGTCAAGGAACAAGTGGTTGGAGGTTGGGGTCAAGCAGAAGCATAGTCAAGGAACAAGTGGTTGGAGGTTGGGATCAAGTGGAAGATACAAACAGCAGCAAGAGTGAAAGGAACAAGATATTAGCTGGAGAAGAGAGCAATAATCCAGCAAATAGGAATTGCAAAGGCATGGCTTAAATAGAAAGGAAGGTCATGGAAAGAGCAAGCAGTTCAAGGTTCACCAGAAACAAGACAGGAAGTAAATTTGTTCAAGTAATCAGACATAAAGCTGTCCAGCACCTCAGGAGGCTCAGCAAGAAGATCTACTGCCAGATGCAACAGAGGTTGTGGGTTCAGATCCTGGTCCTGACAGTTATTCAGGATGCAGAACACTTGCCGCCAAAGACAATGGAACACCAGGCAAGTCCACCAACTATGGATAAATGAGCCCATGTCTGAACGACCACAAATCCAAACAAGGATGCATAAGGGTTAATATGTGCTAATCTAGTGAGTATCATCAAAATAGTGTTTTATAGTCAATTTCAATAGCAGTCGCATTGTGAGAGCATGACTTAGTAGTATCCCAGGTTTGATCCCAATGTTTGTGATCTATGGAGAGTTATAATATCACCATATCTATATACTTACAGTTTTACGCGATTTTATTTGAAACAAGCCCTCTGAAAGGTTATAAAACCCCACAGTTTCAAGCATCCTCTCTCTCATAAAAATAAGTGGAAACAGTCTGACCTTCTTTAAAGTTCTATCTCTGCAAATGTCTGACATCCACAAGACGCATTTGGATAAAATTATGTTTCCATCTGCAAAAACCAGAGCACACATGCAGGAGCCTTTTGCCAATGTTACTACAAATGCAGCCAAAACAGAATTATTATTGTTTATACAAGTGGATCAAGCACAATGACCGAACAACCAACAGTTTGCTGAAAGTGAGGTACTTGTATCGTGACTCAGGAAGTGTGACAAACAGCAAATTACTGAATCTGGAATTTACAATGTCGTAATCAAACAATAATGACATCACAATGATCAGGCACTATCCTATAAATTCTATTCGCTTCTCAGTTGTAAAACAGAAGGTCTTGGAGACAGCACAGCTAAAGAAAACTAGGAAGCCTGCCAAGCAAATCCTCAAGAAAACCATGACGTTCTCCAAAGCAGCTTGTGCCACCCTTGCCCTCTTCCTGCTTTTCACCACTGCAGCAGAAGGTAATGATAATTTCTTAGTTATACTTTTGAACTTAACTAAAAAGTTAACCTTTGTTTTCAGTCTAGAAAAAAAGTACTGGGTAGAAAATTATTTTAGTAGCAATATAATATGCGTACATAAAAGTGATCTTAAAAAGTTCCCAATTGGCAGGAGAGTACATTCCATTCTTTATATTTTTCCTATGTATCATAGAATGTCCCATTGGGCAGAAGGCAGCACACATGCTGTCACAGCAGACAGCCCATAAAGAACATTGCCTTTTTCTTTTGCTAATTCTTACTGTAGCAGGAAAGTTGTCTACCAGTTTGTTTTCCTAGGAATGTTGGCAACTATGTGTAAAACCACCTTTAAGCTGTAACTCTACATAAGTACATAAGTACACCTTTAAGCTCCAATGTTACATAAGTTACAAGATAGTGTGACATTTTGGACCATTGTAGAGACACCACTTTTACTACACACAGCCCAGCTATTATGAGCCCTTAGTTTATTGCTAGTTTTTTTTTATATATATCAACTACAATTTTTCTTTATGCTATCAGTAAAAGAAAAGTAGAAAACTACTTGAACTTAAAGTGTTACTAAACCCAGGACCCTGCATTCACTATATCTGGTCTCCCACAGTACTAAACCCAGGACCCCGCATTCACTATATCTGGTCTCCCACGGTACTAAACCCAGGACCCTGCATTCACTATATCTGGTCTCCCACAGTACTAAAACCCAGGACCCTGCATTCACTATATCTGGTCTCCCACAGTACTAAACCCAGGACCCCGCATTCACTATATCTGGTCTCCCACGGTACTAAACCCAGGACCCCATTCACTATATCATTCTCACCCCGCATATATCTGATCTCCCACGGTACTAAACCCAGGACCCTCGCATAAGATGGTCTCCCACGGTATTCACTATATCTGGTCTCCCACGGTACTAAACCCAGGACCCCGCATTCACTATATAAAACCAGGACCCCGCATCTCCTCCCACGGTACTAAACCCAGGACCCCGCATTCACTATATCTGGTCTCCCACGGTACTAAACCCAGGACCCCGCATTCACTATATCTGGTCTCCCACGGTACTAAACCCAGGACCCCGCATTCACTATATCTGGTCTCCCATACTCTGGTCTCCCACGGTACTAAACCCAGGACCCCGCATTCACTATATCTGGTCTCCCACGGTACTAAACCCAGGACCCCGCATTCACTATATCTGGTCTCCCACCCAGTACTAAATCCCCACGGTAGGACCCCGCATTCACTATATCTGGTCTCCCACAGTACTAAACCCAGGACACCCGCATTCACTATATGGTCTCCCACAGTATAAACCCAGGTCTCACTATATCTGGTCTCCCACAGTACTAAACCCAGGACCCCGCATTCACTATATCTGGTCTCCCACAGTACTAAACCCAGGACCCCGCATTCACTATATCTGGTCTCCCACAGTACTAAACCCAGGACCCTGCATTCAATAACTGGACCCCCTCCGCATTCACTATATCTGGTCTCCCACAGTACTAAACCCAGGACCCCGCATTCAGTATATCTGGTCTCCCACAGGACACAGAACAGCAATTATTTTAGTAAATATAAACTGCTAAATACCTTTTCTCATCAGCGGTATATAGCAGTCTTGTGGCTTCTATCTGTGTCCAGCCCAGCACTAGCTAAAGATTGTAGGAGGAGTTTTCTTTCTGCTCTAGGAGGATGGAAATCACCTAACCTCTGTCTGGACAGTGCTGATTGGACTTTGCTAATCACATGCACTCTCCCAAGAAAAAAAAAAAACCTCTCTAGCAATACATACCAAACTCAGCATGTGCATGCCTACAGTTCAGTCTGGAGATAAGTGGTGGTCACTTTAAAAAGGGGAGGAACAGAGAAGAAAGGATCAAACAGCCTTTTTTACACAATGCAGAGGATTAACCCCTTAGGTTCCACAGTGAGTATAACAACCATGCTTTACTGCATATACAGACTGGTTTTTCTGTTGTGGGCTTAGTAACACTTTCAAAGTAATGTGATGTTTTGCATTACAAGGCATTACAATATAACATGTTTCTAGGACATTGTCAACTTTGACATTCTCAGCAGCCCAGGTGTAAAGTACATTTGACAGTTTTAATTTTCTAACATTAATAGAGAACTCCAGGAAACATCTCTGGAAAGGACAACAGGAGGTAAGTGTAATGTGTTTAGTTCTGTATGTATCTCAGAAAGGACAGCATTGAGATATATGCAATTAACACATTACACTTAACCGTCCATTGTCCCTTCCAACGTTGATGCCTGAAATTGTTCTGTATAGAAGACACAGATACCAGAAACCATGGACAACAGTGCAAATGTTAGCAAAAACAATTACTATGTTTTTGAACTGACATTGCCCTGAAGTTCAGAATTTTGCATTTTTATTTGCTGAAAGTGAAAACAATTACTATGTTTATGAACTGACAATGCTCTGAAGTTCAAAATGTTCCATTTTTATTTGCTAAAAGTGAAAAGAGGAAAACGTCTCTCATGAAATTGGCAAATTTAAAAATCATGTAATGTTATAACTATATACATTTTTCTTTTCTTTAATTTTCAGCTATGTCTTTAGTGAGATCAGCAACAGAATTAAGATGCCAGTGTGTCAAGCTTGAATCAAAACAAATATCGACCAAAATAATGGCGAATATAGAAGTGATACCCAGTGGTCCCCACTGCAAAAATGTTGAAGTAATGTAAGTAATGTATTAATATATATATATATACTTTACATATATTAGCTGTTGTTAGATGGGACATTGTTTAATATATATATATGATGCCTCATGTTGGTGGTTTCAACACCATCTTTGAGTCCATTGATAATCCCATTGTTCAGCATTGGTTTGGTAAAGTAGGAGTAAACTCCCTTGGTTGAATTTTACTTATAGGTAAGCCTATAATAAGGTTTACCTATAGGTATGGTAATTATCTCCTAAACATGCACCATTTAGAAGACTTTTACTTTGGCAGCAGCCGGTGACATCACCGGTGCATGCACTCTGAAGGAACGGCATACCCATGCTTGGCCATTCATACTGCTGAAGCCCACGAACCCTAAAGGAAGACCAGGTGAAGATGGAGGCACCTACAGCAGTGACAGCGCACCGCTGGATGGCTTCATTTTCAGGTAAGTATGTTATAATATGCTAGTAGGTGGTATGACTTACATTGCTCATGGCCTTTTTTTGTTTTTTGTGCTGCGGTTTACTACTGTTTTAAAGGCTCACCATACATGTTACAGTATAATTGTACGATCTCATTAAGATCTACAAACTTGTATGTAGTGCAAGATCCTGCCAGACTGGATACAAATTGAATGGATAGGTTAAATAGGTCCTCATATTGCATAGTTTTGGTAAATCTAAAGAAGTTCTTTCCCACCATCCTTCCAAGCTCAGTCTTCTCATGACCATGAAAGTCCAGTTTGGCAAGGCTCATAGCATATTGAGGAGTGTAGTATCCACACCAGCAGATACTGCAACCCATAGCGTAGCACTCTCCCACAATGCTTTGCTTTTATTTGGCTCATTAGTCTTTTGGTCCTGGACAAAAAGGAGCCTAAGTGCATGCATTCTGCAAACAAATTAATGATACATTGATGTCATCCATCACAGTTAATAAAATTTCAAAATTGTTTTTTGTTTTTCAGAATTACTCTAAAAGATGGAAAACTGGTCTGTGTGGATCCTTCTGCTTCTTGGGTAGAGCGAATTATCAAGCTAATATTAGAAAGGTATTCATTCTACAACAGAGAGAACAACAAAATGATTATAACATTTTGCCCTTTTTGATTTAAAGCTCAATCCCAGCTACCGTATAAACATTTATTTTAGTTTTTTATAGAGGGACAAGAGATAAAATTTTCAGTTTATTTCTGTCTGTGACACCATTTCCTGTCCCTACGGTATCCAGAAAAAGTCACATAAAAAAAAATCACAGTTACAAGAAGGCTCAAACAGCAATAAAAAAACATTATAAGAATCTTCCTAAAAGTGCTCTCTGATTAGCATAAAAGCAAGTAATTGGAAAAAATCATTATCCCTTTGTGCACTGGATGTCTCGTTAAACATTTTTGATTATGTGGGATTTTGGTTCTGCTTTTAATAAAAAGCACTGACTTTTATTGCTTATTAATCAACTAACATTATAAAACAATGATATTGTAAGGCATTTTGTTATTATCCTCTCCATAAAAAGTATTTAACTAAAAGCTGTTAACATAACATAACATTTTCATGTGTTTTTTTTGTAACAATATTTTTGTTTCTTTTGACAGACAGCAAAATGAGGCAGAAGCTGTTTAAATGAAATTTCCTACCTTCTCAGGAACGCATCCTCACCTGTATTTTTATAACTGTTTATACTGCTGTTGTTATTTATTTTGTATCTCATTAATAATTATATTTATGTATTTATTTTGATACAGTGAGACAGTTAGAAAAATGACTGCTATCTACTGTAAAATTATTGTTTTAATCTTGGTTTAACTTTAGCAATATAAGAAGACTCTTTAATGAGCTTCATATTTTGTTTAGGGTACAATAATATGAGCATATAAATCAGTTTATTATTAGGGAACTCAATGTGCCATAACTACAAAGGTAGGCAGCTAGGATCCATACTTTTTAAATACGATAATTATAGTAAATTGACTGGAGGAATATTACATTCATATTAGTTTACTTGCGTTAACTATAATGTGTGTTCGGCGGTTATATATATTATGTTGGTTGTATTTATGTGTATTTTATTTATTTATAAATAAACACTTTGAACAATACAGTTGGTGTCTAATTTCATTTTTACATTCATAAATATAACCACATTATTACTGTTTGTGCTTTCTTCAGTGGAGTTGTCTTTTAGCTTTATTTCTTTACATTGATAAAAATCTGTTTTTTTTGCAGAAAAGGCTTGGTCTGCAACACGTTTGTAATTATAATCACTGTATATTCCTTTCACCTTAAATATTTTCTACATACTGCACATTTAAAACCAGTATTTTCAGGTGCAATACCAGTATAAAAAAAAATTATATCTCAACCTCTGTCTGTTTATTCCGGTCTCATGGACAAATATATAAGGTATGGCAGGGCCAGCAGCTAGATGATGAAGTATTGCTCCTTAGTATATTTGTCCTTTCCTTAAAATCATATGTGAATTTATTCATAATTTATAAAACAATCCATTTAGTTTAAAATAGAAATGCAAGGCAAAATGTGTGTGTGTATATATACAGTGGGGATCGAAAGTTTGGGCACCCCAGCTAAAAATATGTATTAATGTGCATAAAGAAGCCAAGGAAAGATGGAAACATTTCCAAAAGGCATCCAATTACAGATTAGACATTCTTTATAATATGTCAACAAAAGTTAGATTTTATTTCCATCATTTACACTTTCAAACTAACAGAAAACAAAAAAATGGCGTCTGCAAAAGTTTGGGCACCCCTGCAGAATTTATAGCATGCACTGCCCCCTTTGCCAAGCTGAGACCTGCCAGTGTCATGGATTGTTCTCAGTCATCGTCTGGGAAGACCAGGTGATGTCAATCTCAAAGGTTTTAAATGTATAATATATATATATACACACACACATACATATACATACATACATACACACTATATTGCCAAAAGTATTGGGACACCCCTCCAAATCATTGGATTCAGGTGTTCCAACCACCTCCATGACCACAGGTATAGAAAATCAAGCACCTTGGCTTTCAGTCTGCTTCTGCAAACATTTGTGAAAAAATGGGTCACTCTCAGAGCTTAGTGAATTCAAGCATGGTATCGTGATAGGTTGCCACCTGTGTAATAAGTCGATCCGGGAAATTTCCTAGCAATTTCACACAAATATTCCACAGTCAACTGTTAGTGGTATTATAACAAAGTGGAAGCAACTGGGAACAACAGCAACTCAGCCACTAAGTGGTAGGCCACGTAAGATGACAGAAAGGGGTCAGCACATGCTGAAGCACACAGTGCGCAGAAGTCACCAACTGTCAATAGCTAAAGATCTCCAAACTTCATGTGGCCTTCAGATTAGCACAACAACAGCGCATAGAGAGCTTCATGGAATGGGTTTCCATGGCCGAGCAGTTGCATCCAAGCCTTACATCACCAAGTGCAATGCAGTGGTGTAAAGCATGCCGCCACTGGATTCTAGAGCAATGGAGACATGTTTTCTGGAGTGACCAATCATGCTTCTCTGTCTGGCAATCCAATGGATGTGTCTGGGTTTGGCAGTTGCCAAGAGAACGGTACTTGACTGACTGCATTGTGCCAAGTGTAAAGTGTGGTGGAGGTAAGATTATGGTGTGGGGTTGTTTTTCAGGGTTTGGGCTTGGCCCCTTAGTTCCAGTGAAGGGAATTCTTAAGGCGTCAGCATACCAAGACACCAGGGGTGGTCTGACCATTTGGAAACTCGGGCACTGCCCGAGGGCCCAGGGGTCAGTAGGGGGCCCCATGAGATGCCCCTGGTACCTTTTTCCATAGGCTTTTTTGAGTTTGGGCAAGAACGCAGGGGCCCCCATGATCCCCTATTGCCCGGGGGCCCCATGAGTTGTCAGTCCGCCCCCTGCAAGACACTTTGTACAATTTCATGCTTCCAACTTTATGGGAACAGTTTTGGGATGGCCCCTTCTTGTTCCAACATGACTGCTCACCAGTGCATAAAGCAAGGTCAATAAAGACATGGATGAGCGAGTTTGGGGTGGAGGAACTTGACTGGCCTGCAACCTCAACCCGATAGAACACCTTTGGGATGAATTAGAGCAGAGACTGCAAGCCTGGCCTTCTCGTCTGACATCAGTGCCTGACCTTACAAATGCGCTTCTGGACGAACGGTGAAACATTCCCATAGACACAATCCTAAGCCTTGTGGACAGTTTTCCCAGAAGAGTTGAAGCTGTTATAGCTGCAAAGGGTGGGCCAACTCAATATTGAACCCTGCAGACTAAGACTGGGATGCCCTCAAAGTTCATATGCGTGTAAAGGCAGGCATCCCAATACTTTTGCTAATATAGTGTATATATATATATATATATATATATATATATATATATATACACACACGCACACATTTTATGTTCACATGACCTCTGTTCTCAACTGCATAGGGGGCATAGAGAATTGGGGGTGAAGTCTGCAGGACTAATCTTTCCAGTGACAAGCTGTACAGGAGGGTGTGTCAGCAGAAATCTGACCAATGGCATATACGCAGGCTGTGCCCCCGGGTAGAATGTAAAGAAGAACACTGATCATGCGATGTGCTTCCATACCTAGCATGGTCAGTTTGAAGAAAGGTGGGGGGGACTGGCAGGATCACCAGGTATTTCACACAAAGGAAGCAATGCAAAGAGAACAGGATACTTTTTCTTACAAGTACATGGTACAACAGACACATATCAGGAATATGAAATGTGGCAACATGCACTTTATTAAAGGTGATTATAAACGATTTTATTGGACATAAGACTCACAGCAGTTGTACCTACAACAGCAAGCTGCAAGCTTACTGCCCACCCATTTGGCCACAGCTTATCCTCTGTGAGGGCAATATCACCCACCAAGTGGGTGAAAATTATTTTATATAATTTATGATGGCTTTCTTTTTGACTTACAGGATTTTAAAAGGCCTGGTGGTTGAATAGTGATTCACATGATTTAGGATGCCTAATTCTATTCAATCTATGGTGCCTATGGTGGTGTCTTGAAGACTAAAATTGTTGTTTATACAATGTTTATGATTATGGTTTATCAGTTAATAAAAGTTCAAGGTAAGCTCCAATAAAGGACAGTAGCCAAAACTCCTCCACATTCATATCTTGTGTTTTATTATTTTATTTGTTGTTTATATTATGCATTTTGAGATGGTGTGAAATGGGCACAATCTCAAGCCCACTACACGAAATAACGCCTGCTAACTCTTTTGTTTTTTGGGGGGGGGATTTATTTTGAAGGAATCAGCTTACAAAATTTGACTAGTAATATTGGCCACCCCTACGTGAGTGTGAAAAAGCTAAGAATCACAAAGAAAACTTTCAGTGCTACCTATAAGTACCTCTATTCTTCTACAATTACCTCTCTTCCTATATGATTAGGTCTATTCTCCTTGTCTTTGACTAATGATCAGCATCCAGTTTTATTCTACACTGAAACTGTATAGTCAGAGAACACTCCCAGCTTTGTTTATCAGTTCAATACAGAACATCTGGGTAGAGCCCTGTTAGATTTCCCATACATAATATGATTATTATGGATCAAGTGAAGATGAATCAGTGGATTCTTTAAAATAAATTTTCACTTTTGCAGTCACATTTACTTTAATGTTTTGTATTCCGTTTCATACAAATAACCTAAAAAAACCTTTAAAAATATTTTCTTACCTTTTGAGTTGTTTGTTTAGTGCAGGATCACACATACCATGCTATAGGCAGCTTCTATTGCTTTGAATGGATGGCAATGTACAAAGCGCACACGGGGGACAAATGTAAGGAACAACATTTTTAAAAGTGCATTAATAAAAAATTAACAAGCAAAGCCTGGAAATATTTAAGGCTCCATGCACACTAGCGTTTTTTTAAGCTGAAGCTGGATAAAAAAGGTTGGTTATAGCGTTTTTTTAGTAGCGTTTAGAAGAGTTTGTGTTTTATTAGCATTTTTACAGTATATGTAGGGAAAAAAAAAAGATAGAAAAAAGATGTTAGGAGAGTTTTAGTAGTGTTTCTGAGCATTTATCTTTTTTTTATGCCAGGAAAAAAAAGCTTCCAAAAACTCTAAAATAGTGTG